CCTTTAAAGGCAATATCAAGGAAGAAATGTGTATTAGAAAATTCCATGTTTTCTTCATGTATATATTGCACAAGAATGAGTGTCACCGAAGTCAATCTTATTGCAAACTAAAAGTTTACTAATTTGAATAATTTTAAGATTTGACACGATCGATTAGATCATCCTGAATATGTGATATTAATGATGATGGGTGATGATTTCTCATAAATTGAGAAAATAGATTTTAGAAATCATGAAACATCTCACCATCCACAATTTATTTGGCATTAATGTCCATATAATTATATTGTTTAACATTAATGTCCATATAATTATATTGTTTAACTTTTTATTAAAGTTATTTTGACAATTTATGAGATGATGTGGAACTATATATGTCTGACTTTTGATTCCATTTTGGTTTGTCAAATTTGTGCTCTTAAATTATGTATAGTGCTTTGTTAATTTGATCATATACTTTATATGATTGCATATACATTTGAGTACTTCATATGTTGCGATTTAAAAATTCAAATTAATTTAAATTATGACATGAGTGGTTGGGTCATTTTGGGCTAAATATTGATAAGTAAGATTTGAAACACTATTATTTGGACATATATATATATATATATATATATATATATATATATATATATATATATATATATCAAATAGTAGTCTCCCTTATGAAGCATGGGTAAATGAAAATTTTCAAATTATATATTCGGAGATCTAATTTGATATACTACTGTTTATCAAAATCTGACATACTGCATATCTTGATATAATCCTCTTACATCTAGTACGTGGTGTAAGATTGAACATTTTTCAAAATCTGGGGTGTTTTATTAATATGCAGTCTATTTATTATCACATCATTATGCGTATCCTTACGGGCTATCAAATAAAACTAGGTATATATGTTGATTATAAATTCCCGTCTATTGTATAAATACCTAGAGCCCATGATATGGTGATCATTTGATACGCTAACTGCATAATTTATTAAGATCATTTCAAGGCATTCAGGGAGAGATTTTTTAGCCCAAATTATTTTGATTTGAAAATTTGAATGCCGAGAAATTTCATGATATGAAAGGATCTTCAAAAATCCACATACTAGATTGACGGGACTAAAGGTTCAATAGTTTATTAATATCTGCCATATACCTGTTGATTAAATTATGTCTTGAAGAGACATTTGTTAAGAAGACGAAATACCCAGTGGTGCACCAAACAATTATAATACCGGGATGCGGAACGACCAGATCTGAATAGTTATGGGAAAATGACCATAATCTGGTTGATTCAGAAATTGCCATGAATTATTATGGATATGGGAGAAAATTATGAAAATGTTATCGACAACACAATTGCCTCAATAATTATATTGCTCAGTTTGGATCCAGAGCTAGGCACAAAATGTGCCCTGATTATGTGATATATAAAGGAGCGATTAAGGCATAGCTCAGCTCGCTATTCTCTGTATTATATGTACACACCATTGAATAGGTGTTGGTGTGAAATAGAATAATGATATGATGTGATAAAAAGCGAGGCTTGGAGCTCATGAGTTTACACAGATACCCATAATTGATATGATATACTCTGATAATGGATGACAATAAGTTCTGTTGATTAATATCATTGGCAGTGAATAATATGCAATGAAGAAAAGTCATGACCAAATAATAATGGGTCATTGGACAATATATTTGAAAAATTCGGATGAATTTGAAAGTTCTCAAAATGATAAAAATGTGAGAATCGCAACATAAAAAGTATTATGGTCTTTATATGACTTGAAATATTTGAAGATTGATTGAGTATATTTTCTTCTTGAAGAAGGAATATGCATATATTATATGTACTCTTTAAAGAGTTATGAATGGGGTTATTATTCTCATGAAGAAGGAATAATATGTACATATCTGATTCTTCAATTTGATGCCTTGAACACTCCACCATTGAAGGGCCTCCGGGTTTCAAGTGGCTTGATCTTCAAAGAAGGGCTTGTATATATAGCTTGTTCTTCTTGAAGGGCCTCCGGGTTCAAATGGCTTTATCTTCAATAGAGGTTTGGATCAATGGGCATAGGCATGATCATTATGGTGGAGGGACTTCTACTTTCAGTATCACATTTCTATTGTGATCTTGAATAATATTTTTCTAGATGTTTACATCACTTTTCCTAGGATGTGTATATGAACAAAGAAAATTGAATTCGGTTACATATCAAGTATCAATGCAGTGTGGGTACAAGATCTCTGGATGTCCTCTGATTCTTCAATTTGAAGCCTTGAACACTCCACCATTGAAGGGCCTCCGGGTTTCAAGTGGCTTGATCTTCAAAGAAGGGCTTGTATATGTAGCTTGTTCTTATTGAAGGGCCTCCGGGTTCAAATGGCTTTATCTTCAATAGAGGTTTGATCAAGAGGCATAGGCATGATCATTATGGTGGAGGGACTTCTACTTTCAGTATCACATTTCTATTGTGATCCTGAATAATATTTTTCTAGATGTTTACATCACTTTTCCTAGAATGTGTGATTACATAGAAATGAAAAGCCCTATTTATAGCTGTAGGATAGAGAGTTTTGATAAGCTCAAACTCTTTTGATATTATCTAATTAACAAATTAGATAATATCAATATTATCCAAAATATTTTAAATGTATTCAAATATACTAATATTGATAAATAATCAATACTTATCAAAATTGAAGTGTCTACAAATGCCCCTCGAGACTTGCTTGTACACCACTTGAGAACATTTAACACTCGAAAATATGTAGTGCAAGAAAGTCTTGACACTACAACTTTAAGATATAAGGCCGTTTCAACTCGTGCCAAGGAGCCTTGAAAGATATGAGGCCGTTTAAACTCGTGCCAAGGAGTCTGAATATAAGACCGTTTAAACTCGTGCCAAGGAGTATCATTTAGCTTCCTTCATTTCAAATTTCATATAGGGTTTGCCCCCATACCGGTTGAATGATATGTGCCTATGAAGAGATGAGAGGCAGAGCTGTTCCACTGGGCGTGCCAATTTGTGAACAAAGAAAATTGAATAAATATATTAATATTCAAAATTCTAGAGTTACATATCAAGTATCAATGTGGTGTAGGTACAAGTTTCTGGATGGTTGATGTACGGGAAAGAGATGGTGAGTTAACGGGTGTAAATTGTCGTTCCGCGAGGGATTGGGACTATGGCACGTACTTGAGTGACAACTAAAATTCTAGGCACCAAGGTATTGGAACCCACAAGAATCCAAGCATATTCAAATTCATGGTTGGCTGATGTCAACAATTAAAGGCTAAAAATCTAGTTAAGACAATGCAATTTAAACACAAGTAAACACAATGATAAAAGATGGGCTCAAATTAGGAGATGTTGCCTTCTAGATGCTTTAACAACTTAGGGATTAGGGGAGAACATCAACCAAGGGAACATAAGGGCAAAGCACATAAAAATCCTAGCTTAAAGCCATTTTCATAAGCTAAAGAACAAGGATTAGAGCAAGGATTGCCCCACTTTCATGGTGTATCAATTCCTAGCTCTTAAAACACATAAGCATTTAGGCCTCCAATTCTTCCATATTTTCATAGGAAGAAAATGGGTTTAGAGAAAGGAGAGGCTTAAGTTCATCCCCCAACTTTCATTGTGGAGAAAAACTATCCAGGCCAAAAGCAAGTTAATAAGAGTTACGTACCAAATATTAACAAGATTCAACATAAATCATTCACAAACAAATGAACCCTAGGTTAGATATCTTCCCCCTTATGCAATAATCACCTATTTAGCATCTAGGTTGGCAATATCAACCTAATCCGAGCCCAAAAACGGACTACTCACACTTCATAAGCATAAATAACAACAAAGCACAAGAAAATATCATAAACATTGCACAAAAGCTTAAAAGAAGAGTAAGAAGCTTCTCTATTGAAGAAGAAGATTTTGTGGTTGAATCCCACTCCAATCCACGTTTACAAGCTTGCTAGATGAGTTAGAGATGTAATACTAGACTAATCTAAGCTAATGAAGTCTAATGAAGTGAAGAGAAATGAGTTCTAGCTATTTAGGGTTCTAACTTTTCGCATAAATATTAACAGAGCACAGAGGTACTGCCTTAGGGACGGTCATCCCTGAGGCAGTACGATTTATTCTTGGTTCACTGGAAAGGGCGTACGGGCGGGCGTACGCCACCTGCTTCTTTTTTGAGATCTTGGACGAGCTGACGAATGGGCGTACGGGAGGCAGTACGGTGCTCCTGAAAATTCCTAAATGCATTCCGAACTCTTTTGTTGATCTCTTGGTCCTAAAATTGCTCGTATCTTCCCACAAATCATTGAATTCCTCACTTGTTGTGAATGATTGCACCTTGAAATAAAACCAACATAACTTAGTCACAATTCACACAAGTTTTTAGGCAATTCACAAATAAAAAGGGTTCAAGAAGGGGTAAAAATATAGACAAAAATGCACTTATCAATGGCCCTCTGATTCTTCAATTGGATGCCTTGAACACTCCACCATTAAAGGGCCTCTGGGTTTCAAGTGGCTTAATCTTCAAAGAAGGGCTTGTATATATAACTTGTTCTTCTTGAAGGGCCTCCGGGTTCAAATGGCTTGATCTTCAATGGAGGTTTGGATCAACAGGCATGATTGGATTGGAGGAGGGGCTTTTACTTTCAGGATCACATTTTCATTGTGATCTCTGAATAATATATATTTCTAGATGTTTACATGATTTTTCCAAGAGTTTGTGTTTACATAGAAATAATAGGTCCTATTTATAGCTGTAGGATAGAAGAATTTTGATAAACTCAAACTCTTTTGATATTATCTAATTAACAAATTAGATAATATCAATATTATCCATACATAAATTCAAATATACTAATAGTGATAAATAATCAATATTTATCAAAATTTAAGTGTCAACAGGTATAATACAACCAGTTTTGGTACTTGGCCTTCATGGGGATACAATAATAATGGCCAATCAAAATCATACATTGGCTAACTGGAGTATACAGTTCCATTAAAGAAATACTCGATCATTAAGTCGAGATAACACTTGACTTTTTCAAGCTTTTCATTTCAATATCCCTATCTTTAGATATGAGCTAACATCATTAAGCTCTTTGTGTATTTCATTGATGTTTACACCATCAATATTGACTGAGATAATCAATGAGTTCATTAGTAACCCTTTCTTGAATTGTACTGTTGATACTTAAATTTTGATAAATATTGATTATTTATCAATATTATTAGTATATTTGAAATATTTTGGATAATATAGATATTATCTAATTTGTTAATTAGATAATATCAAAAGAGTTTGAACCTATCAAAACTCTTCTATCCTACAACTATAAATTGGAGCTCTCATTTCTATGTAATCACAAAGTCCTAGGAAAAATCATAGAAAGAATTCTGAAGTTTATTCAGAGATCACAATAAAAATGTGATCTTGAAAGTAAAAGTCCATTCTCCTCCATATCTTGATGCATGTTGATCCAGCCCTTCTTTGAAGATCAAGCCACTTGAAACCCGGAGGCCCTTCAATGGTGGAGTGTTCAAGGCATCAAATTGAAGAATCAGATGACCATCCAGAGACTTGTACCCACACCGCATTGATTTATACTACTGTAACCAGAATTTTGAATATTACTATATCTTATTCAATTTTTTGTGTTCACAATACCTATCCCACATTGTTCTATAAAAGGACAATAAAAGATTGTGTTGCACTAATAGTAAATGTGTATCTTATTTTTTACTAGACATTATGATGTCAATATGATACCCACGTGAACTCCAGAAAAGTCACGAGATTATTATAAAATATATTCACCCCATTGATAGATGAACATGTTTGTTCACAAAATCCCTCTCTATATTTTGAAAGTTTAATATAAGGGATTTGAAGAATGTTATATTCAAGGGGAGTATGATGAATCATGAATATTATGCCATAAAGTTTATAGTGGTTTTACGGTTGTACTCTTTTTCCCTTAGCTAAGTTTTTTTCCACCGGGTTTTCTTAGTCTAAGGTTTTTAATGAGGCAACCGGTGCAACACATAATTGAACATATATCATGTACTCTTTTTCCCTTGACTAGGTTTTTCCCACACGGTTTTTCTAGCGAGGTTTTTAACGAGACATGGGTATGAAGACATTACAATATGTATTGCCCAGTTGAAGGAATGATACATCATGGGAGATGGAATAAAAAGTGAGGAGATGGAATATAACACACTTCTTCAGTGTTATCGTTTTCTAGGGGAGCAAATTATTGTACTCTTTTTTCCTTCATCAAAATTTTTTTCCATTGAGTTTTTCTTTGGTAAGGTTTTTAACGAGACAATAAATGTTTATCCTTTGGACATCCAAGGGAGGTGGTATGAAACAAAACAATAGATGTAGATGTGACTCAAACTCAAGATCTTCTAGAAAGAAGCTAAAGTCTCTTTCCACTAAGCTACCAACTCAACAATGATAAACAAGAATTAAATGATATATACTTGCCGCAATTGTTGACTAGGAAAAGGGATAATACAGGTTCCAAGAAAAGCTACAAGTTAGAGTCGAACACAGGACCTGTAGGGGTGGCAAAATTACAACAGTGCCTAATCTACCAGCTAGGCTAATCTCAACATCTGTAAACTCTAGGCAACATATAATATTTGTTTAAACAGTCTGATGCTATAAATACCCATCTCCCCCTTTTGTAAATCATCCTAACATATACGAATAAATAATATACCAAAGTCCATCTCTTCCTCCTTTCATCTCCAATCTGCTGCTCTTCTTATATATTACATACTATTATTGTTATTATTCATAAAAGGGAAAACATAAGTTGATAATAGCAAATATTTCATGCGAGCCTACATTAAAAAAAAAAAAAAAAAAAAAAAAAAAAGGTACCTCTACAAAATAGCCTTTAATATGTGCAAACCTGGAGCAATCTAACTGCTGTAGCCGTGGCTAACTGAATATCTTTCAAGGCAAATGCACAAGCCTAGCTGCTAGATACATTAATTAATGTGAGTTTTGCAAGAGATCGATCTTTAATTTCTTGAAATGTCAGCAAGTTCATTATCACTTGCCTGTAGCATACAAAAGAGTTGTGATAGGTGTTCAATTGTGTTTATTTAGGATGCATATTTTGGTCAGTTTTGGATAAAAATTGCTTTGATATTGTTTAAACTGATCAATTATGTGAACATATCACGTTTTGAAGGTAAATCAGGCTAAATCAAGAATAACTTGGACTCAAATTGGACAAAATAGGATGAAAGCCGGATAACACATGTTCAAAGCTTTATGAGACCAACTTTAGAATGCAAACTCTGTTATCACATTGGTGTCATGCTCGTGAGAGGAGACTTCAAAGAGTGAATCATTTCCTTCACGAGGCCTATCACACTCGTGAGATGCCTAATGACGTGCCTGATCTGGGAATATAAAATGAAAAAATTAATCATACCATAATTATAACTCAAATTATCAAATATACTTTTTAATATAATATGTAGTATAAAACTATGATTTTTATGACTTTTTAAAATTTATATGCTATTACTTCTTCTTCTTTTTTTTTTTTTTTTTTTAATATAGAAAAATCAAAGATAACTACGGTTTTAAAATTGAGTACTAATATTTGACATTTATTTGTGCTCATCGCGCATAGAAAATACTAGTTAATATTGGGCAATTTATATTCTGTACCACGGCGCGCGTTGCATTGTGCGCCCATATGCAAAACGACGTCGTTTTAATTTTTATTTTTATTTTTTGAAATTTTCCGCCCCAGTGTTTGGCAGTTAATTTTTCTTTAAAAAAAACCCATGTTCAAAAATGTACATCATGTTATACTAGAATACACATAATTGTGTACATGAATGTACATAATTATATAACAAAATATACATACTCTTTTTTAAAAGATAATACACATAATCTAACATAATACATAATAAACATAAACTTTTAACATAATACACATCAACTCTTAACATAATACACAAAATTTTTCTGATTCGGATGTACATAATTGTATAAAAAGAATGTACATAATTGAATAAAAAATGTACATAATTGTATGAACAAATATACATAATTGTATGAACAAATATACATAATCACAGCAACTTCCTACGCGCGCCGTGGTGTAGGGTATAACGATTGTTAATATTGATGGATGGTATATTATTGGGCTTGGGCCACATGGTCCAGCCCAAAAAAATAACCGGATCAAGGAAGTCCAAGAAGTAATGGACAATTTGGGTCTATTCATAATTTGATAGGATAGAGCTTATTATTTATAGGAATAAATGTTAAATAGGCCATCGAACCGCATACAATAATGCAATTAGGCAAAAAAAAGCTACAATTAAGTCCATAAACTAACCCATTTCAAATAATTTGTCTAATTTACAAGTTTTCCCCCTTTCTAACAGGTCACCCAATTTAAAAAATAATTTTTTAAAAAATTAATTAAAATAAACTAAAATTATTATTTTTTTTAAAAAAAAAAACTTCGTCTCCGGCGACAAAGATCCCTTCTTCGTCTCCATGGCCGGAGACGAAGAGTGTGACACCCCGTAAATCTAAATACTAATTGAGGATTAATTGAAGAATTAATCCAAACTTTCTTTGCTAATCCATTTCTAAAAATCCTGAAATTTAATAGTCGAGGGACTAGATTTTGACTAGTCACTTAAATCTAGTGAATGTACCTCGTGCTTCATGAGTTGTACCCTTACCCCATTGTCTTTCCAACCTTAGTAAGGATAAAAGTGACTTTTCACCCATAAATTATTGTTTAAGCTACCATAGCAAGACATTTCATTTCATTCGTTCATCATTCAAGCCTAAGTCTCAAACACTCTAGCCTCTCTAAAATAACCTAGCTTATTCTTCAAGCAAGAAGGTGAACCTCCTAGCCTTGCAAGATCTCCATCAAGATTCCTACTTTCTTCTTCTTGAGCATAGGAAATGGTACGGTTCTTAGCTTTTTGGTGTTTTTAGCCATCTTTTGGGTGTCTTTATCTAAAGTTAGAATCTTTCTTGTGTTTTGGCTTGTGTAAGAAGTTGGTGAGGAAGAAGAGCTCTAGGAAGAAGCTTAAGAGGGTGAAAAGGAGAAGCTGTTAGGCTACAAAGGTAACTCATGCTATACAAAACCTATTTTCTTACTTAAATGATGATTATTGGCTTCTATTAGATGTTTTTGGTGTGATTTGTGAGATTTGATGCATGATCTTGTAATGATGCATGTTTAGAGCTTGTTTTTAGGTTTCTTGTATGCCATTGCTTGGTTATTTCTTGGGTTCAAGTCATATCTTTGTTGTGGGTGAGATTTTGGGTGTTTTGGACTTGAACTTGACATTGATGATGAATTTCCCCGAAGGGAAAATTGGTGTACACGAGGTGTACCCCGCGGGCGGAACGACGGGAAGTGGCCTACCCGCCACCCCACTCGCGGAGAACGTGGCTTGTGGGCATTGTACCCCGCGGGCAGGCCCACGGTGGGGGCTTACCCGTGGCCCCACCCGCGGGGAACGTATTGGTGGATTGCGAGGATTTGTTCCTCGTGATCCTTTCTTCTTGGTATTTGATGTTTTGGCCTCCCGTTGTTGAATGATTGAGCTATTTGTGAGTCTTCTTGATGTTTCGTATGTCTAGAACGGTGTGTTAGGAATCCATGTTAGGATTTGGTGTCTTGAATCGTGCTAAGGGTCCAACCTTGTGATTCATTGGGCTAATGTGAGTCTTGAAGGTTCGTTTGGACCATTTCAGTTTACCCGCTTGTTGAGCATGCTAGTTTGATGTTGTTATACTAGTATGTGTGGTTTGTTCCTTCTTATTGGGGTTGGCAACTTGTGTTGACAATCATTTGATGTTGGATGTATCCTTTGTTGTTGAGTATTGTCTCATGTCTTTGTTGTGATCTCTTGATTGATCCTTATGATGTGGTCTTGTGCAAGTCGTTGTACCTTTTTGTTGATACTCGATTGGGCTATTGATGAGCCTCAATCTTCTTGATGATGATGATGACTGTGTGTGATTATGATTGAGATTGGTGGTAATATTAGCTTTGCTCATGAGATCGGTGGTAATATTGTGACTTTACAGTACCCTCGTGTACTTGAGATCAGTGGTAATACAGTTCTGATTGGTAGGGGACAACGGTCCGAAGTGGA